AAAAAAAAAAAAAAAAAAAAAAAAAAAAAAAAAAAAAAAAAACACTGTACGCATATTAATAACAAGTACTTTCTTTGAAGAAAATTTTTTTTTGAAAATTCGAGCACGCTACATAATTTTCCCAGAAAAGCGTTTATTTCCTTGATCTATTATATAATAAGATAAACGAGAACGGATTGAAATTTAATGCAACTATGATTTTACATTAAAACTTTCCAGACACTTAAACCCCTTGTGCATATTCGTATTTATCTGATTAAAATCTAAGTAATGCACTTGTACTACGGAATCTGGTAATCAGTGACCGGTCAGCTTTTGCGGGGCCCAGAGTAAAATTAATTACAACTTATGTGAGACCTCCAGTATGATACGAAACGTGTGATGTGAATTACATTAAAAAAATAATAAAGGCGGCATAAAGTTGTTTTAAATATAAGCGGCGTTGATGGTTATTAATAATTTTTGACAGTAAATGATGTCGCACAGAGCCATTGAAAAACAAAAACTAAATAACGAATTAGAAACACAGTGGTCGTTGTAACTGATTGAAAGAAAAAGGTGCGTTGGAGGCAGAGGAGATGTAGAAGGAACAATGTTAATTAGACGATGTGTCATATTAACAAGGGTGCGGTGGTACGCGTACAGATGTATCAATGAAAGCAACACTTCAACGTTTATTTTCAGTGGGTCGTCGCGCGGCACTTGCTGGACTTTGTACCGCACGCAGGATTGGTCAGTCAACTACCGTATACACGTAGTAGGGCGACGCGGGACACCGTGTCAAGTGATACAACGATTTTAAAACGACGGAACAACTGTCCCCCTACACCCCTCAAACAACAATGTTGCCAAAATGATAACATTGTTACCAAAATACGTAAAAGCGATTTTTTAGTAATTTAAATGGTTTTTTGAGTTAAATATTTTTAATCTAGAAGATGAATATTATAAGTATTTTTAATATAGAATTTTTTTTTAAAGGGGAGAAATTAAGATAGACTATCCAAACATTTTGTTCCAATTGCGCGCTATCAAAACACAATATTGTATTTAAAATATAAAATACTTTCTAACTAAGTATTAATAATATTTTTTAAACAAAATTAAATCAATGTATAAAAAAAAAAAAATCGGTATTTTGTTGCAACGCATTTAAATCCGGACCCTAGTTATAATAATAATAATAACTGACAGTAAAAAAAAAAAAATAGCCAATTCCAAAAATAGCAATCGTAAATGAGGACATAAACTGTGGAAACAGCGAAACGCTTTTAGTAGTCCTATTTTTTAGGTATCGTAATCAAATTATTATACCCAACTACTACTATAAAATTCTATTAGTATTAATATTCGGATTCTTGGAATATAATTGAATGCTGTTTGACACGTGACTGGTTAATTATAAAAATAAAAAAAGGCGTAGGCAGTGAATAATAATATATTATCGCAAATGATTAATAAATATTGTTGTCGTTTTTCAAGTTTTGCAATAAGTAAACACTCGAATAGTCAGATAACGAGTTGCAAATTTTACTAAATAATATTCATATGAAAACAAAAATGACAAATATATTATAACTCATCAAATATTGTTGTTATTATTTACAGGTAAATGGCTAACTTTATATTTGTTTTATCATTAAAAATTTCAATGGTAATCTACTAATGATATAATTCGTATTGGAAAATGCCAATGTAAACAGAGGTCGATACAATATCGTCGACCGAGTAAAATCGACTTGCATAACTAAACCAATCCGTCTGTTATTTCGATGTAATATTTTTTCATGTAAATTCTGCGTCGTGTCTCGCAAGTTTCCGACCAAGCGGATGACTGTCGTGTCCGTAGACAACTTCCACCGGTTGTTAACTGTTCAGTGTTTACACTTCGCTGGCATTGTCGGTCACACGTAGCGATGACCGACCGGTTCCACAGGGGGATAAGTCAAAACTGGTTATTTTCATGCACACAACACTCACTCACGAAATAGCGTTCGTTAATAATTTTGTAGTGTAAGGTAACGAATGCCTAAAGTGTAAACTCCTAACGTGGAATTCAGTGCGTAATGTCAGGGTTAAGGAAGAAAAAAATAATAATAATAAAATTAGATTTGTTGTTATTATAGATAACAACAATAAAATATAACTGTTGATTGCGGGGTCAACCCTATGGCCAACTAAATACCAGCAATGAACAATTATATTAGTTGTCCTAATTACATACGCAAGAATATATTGTGAATCGTTAGAATCAACAGAATGTGACGATATTTCACTGGTGTTACGATTAAATATCGTAATTTTTTTTATTTGAAAATATCTATTTTTGACGCTGACGATAAAAATAAATAAAATGAATTACTTGTAAAATCTGTTTCACTTCTGATGATGCAATGGCGCTCTGTTCGCGTTTTTCTTTTTTCTTAATGGTCTCCATTTTTTCTTCCTCCTTTTTTTCCCTCTGCTCCTTTTCCTCCAGTTCCCGTTTCTTTTCCCACAGTTCCTGCATAACACACGACTAAACATTATTTATGAAGAAGTCTAATCCATCAATCGACCAAACCACGCCGCCGCATAGCCTTACGCCCGTCACTATTAGATTATTTTATTATTATAATATATATATATATATGAAACGGCCATCTCGGATAAAGTTATACTTATTACCATAGGCATCAGGGCTCAGCTGTCTCACCGATTCGTTAAACGGTAATAAGTAATAACATTACCGTGCGTCGGCCGTGTGTACATTTGTGATCGTAATCGGTCATATACACCCGAAAAAAAAGAACGCACGTATACATGACACGTCGACGATGACAATAGACACGCTGAACACAAAAAACCAACGTATTCTGTGGCATCTTTTATTCAACACTGCCGGTAAACCATATATTACGTCAGCGGGTCAAAACAATACACATCGGCTATATGGTATTGTACACGATTGGACTATTTCCACGGAAAATGCCTATTTATTACACGGCATTGTTTTCGATTGGCGGGGAGTAGTACGTGTCGGGGGCGATAATATTTACAGTAAATTTGTCTTTTAATAAGGCATTTTGTTTCGTAAAAGGAATACCTACACCCAATGCGCGTCAACAATTGTTGTAATTAGCTTTAAAGTTTACTTTGAGGTGTTGTCGTAGTTGTTGCTCATGTTGTTCGGCCAACTGTTGTTGTTGCGCTTGGAATTGTTCCAGCAAATATTGTTGCTGAAGTTGCTGCTGTTTTTTCAACTGAAACGTTAAAATTATCACGCAAAACGTTAAATATTTATATGTATGTGGACACAAGTGGTATATTAGTGTATTACAATTATTGTCAGTGTAAAAATAATGTTTAATACATAGTTATTCTCGTAGCTCAAACAATAAAAGGTCTTTTTTTTTTTTGTCAGAATTTATTTCTATACCGAAAAATGTTTTCATGTTTAACGAACTGATACAATAAAATATATATATATATTAAGTGTATTTGTTTAATTTACCAAGACTGTATTTTAAGACACATATTAATTCAAAACCAATATATTTATAAAAATTTTTTGAAAACACCTAATGCTTTACCATAAGACAGAAGACTTTTTTTATTTGTTTAAATGATGTAAAGAAAAAATGTATCTATGTAGAATATACTTAATTTTTAAAAAAAGAAACCGAGATGATTCTAGTTGATACATAACCTCTTATTTATAGAATTTCAATGTAAGCCCAGGAAAATGTATACTTTTTTTATTTTTAGTTTAAAATAATCCTTAAAAATACCATTTAAAAAATTTGTTTAAAAATAATTTATCTTAAAGACGAGTTCGGAAAGTTATTTTTAAAACAAGTAAAAAAAAAAAAACGTTCACAAAATTCATAAAATATTTTGGATGCATAATTTTTTTAATACAAAATGTTTAACGTTTTTAAATATTTCAATAGATAGACAATAAAAAAAAGATTTAATATGTTAATGCGCATTATTGACTTGATTGATTGTCGAATGAGAGGACTATAACAAAGACACATTATTAACATTTAAAAAAATACATTCACTGAGAAATACTCCCCATGATTTTGAGATCCCAACATGACATAACTGAAAAGGACCGATCACAAATATTTTATTCTTTATATTTTTTTTTTCTAAAAAAGAATGTCATAAATTTCTTAAAAAAAAACTTTTTCATCTGAGAATTAATAATAAAGTAATAGATATCTTTGGTCTTTTTAATTAGTTTTATTTGTAATGTGTAGCGAGAAGTTGTTATTACAAATTATCTCACGCAAAAATATTTTAAGTTCTACTAAAATAATACGCGGGAAATTTACTGAGCAATGAAAATTAATAAAACATTATAAATAGTGCGCCATTCAAATTATTAAAAACATATTTTTATAAATCAGAAAAATTTATTAAAATAGTTATTTTTATTTAAGTCGCAAAAAGTTATAGGAAAATCTCATACTCTTAACAAAAACTATTATAGTACGCTGTTTATTATACAATGTAAATTATTTGTAATAATATTTTAATAAATTTAATACTATTTATAAAATTTGACTTTTTTTAATCTATATTTCTATGGAAAATTAAGNTAATATTTTAATAAATTTAATACTATTTATAAAATTTGACTTTTTTTAATCTATATTTCTATGGAAAATTAAGATTTCGGCAAAAATTATTAGCGTTTTTATAAAATAACTTAAGAGCTCGATCAGGAATTTTCATTATTCAGGGGGGTTGTTATAATTCTTCTTTTTAAGTAAAAGTAACGTAACTATAATGAACTTGGCGTGCAATTAAAAGAATATAATAAGCTATAACTCAAGGACAGATTTTAATTTCAGGAGAAGTATAATCTTAATTTTTTAATTAAATTTAATTTCTATTGTTAAAAAATATCTTACGACATTTAAAAGGTGTCCTGTTTATTAAAAAAACGTAACAACTATGAATAATTAAAAATGAAATGTGTTGACATTAAATTGTAGCAATTATTTGCCTTATCCTTTCCCTATAAATAAATGGATTTCCAATTACTATTGTCAATCCAGTATTCGTCAATGGAAGAGTTCGTCTTTGAACTTACCCAAGACCAAAATAATTAAATTTTTTAATATTACCTAACTTGTAAGATGAACTACAATGCGTTAACAAGGTCAACAGGAGGATGGCTTCGCTCTTTTAACCTCCCTGGATAATTCAATGTTCTATATTATAATTAATGATGTAAGTATTTTAATTAATTTGATAAATTTTGAAAATATATCTGTTACTGTAGAGAATTGTCTGTCAGTAATACTAAAGGTTAATGGTGGTAATGATATATCATGAGCCCTATTATTGTAAAATTGAATTTTATGTTCAATTGGACTAAAATTAATAGTTTTTATAGTATTAAAATTGAAAAAAACGCAGAGTTTTTTTTTAATAACGAATGAAAGTTGAACTTTGTAATATAAACTTCTACGAGTAACACTAAGTTAAATACATTCATTGTTATTAATAAAATATATTTTATTTCCCAGCATAAGATATTTATTTAATACTAATTAAAAGTTTATTTTATAAATGAAAAGAAGAGATAAAACACTGCAAATAATGAAATGACTAAAGAAAATTTGTATTGCTGAAGGCTCAACATGAAAGAAAATAGACAAGTCCCAGCATAATATTTAACATTTGGAAAACAAGTATCATATACATAATATCTCTTGGGTCCGCATCTAAGCCAACACTATCGAAATTCTTTCACGATGATCTTAGATTTATATCAGCTATAATATTATTTCAAGTATGGTACTTCACTATTCCTTAGTATTTGTCGTATTAAAAAATGACCAAAAGAGTACACTTGATTAATAAAGAAATTTTTTAAGTTACTAAACTCACAATGAGTTGACTGAGGTAATAAAATAAAAACTTGTAGCTTTTTCACTCCATCGCATCAAAGTATGCATTCTTATTGTCTTTGTAAGGCTATACAATTGTTGATTTTTACAGCCAAATCAAAGATAAAGAATTGTAAATGTAATGATAACACGCTTTATATTGGCTTAAAATCAAAAGAAACTTGCGTCAGTGAGGAGACAAATAGCAATAAATTATTATTACTACTACTATTATTATTATTATTAATAAACTCAATATGATAAATAATAAATAATAACAAAATATTGCGCTTAAATAACGAACTGACTGTGGAATATAAATAAGTATTTTATTTTCAATTGACTTTACATTCGGTTAAACAATTGAATTTATAATAAATCATACGATTAGTCAACATTTAGTGTTTTCAACCAATTTTCAGTTCATTGGTAATTTAAAATCTATAAGATAAAATTACAGGCAAATTATATAGTTTATAGGAAACATAAAAAGTATTTTTAATAACTCAATAGAAAATCAAGTGAAACATTTAAAATAGTCAAAGTAAAATAACAACAACTGGCTTCCCATTATATTTTTATGACGTATTTTTAATAAATTATTGACGTTTAAAAATAGACTGACCATTGTTAAAAAAATTAATATTTGTAGTAGTAGCCATTAAAATTAATTAATAATACCAGTACTACGTGTTGATCGGTAGCACTATCTCTACACAAGATAAGCTAACATAAAAAAAACAATAAGAAATATCATGGAGATTTTATTACTCATTATACTAGTTCTAATTAAGGAAATCTACGTATTTGTTTAGCTATAATTAGGTAATCAATTAGGTAATAGGATATCAACTGATATCCTATTAGATCGACAGATTTGAACACCGACAAATGAATTCTAAAAGCTACTCGAGTTTTAATTAAAATTAGCTAAATGTTTTATGCTCACTTAACAATAATTAAAAAAAGGAAACACCTCACCTCTAGTATCTGGTTGTGGATAGCGCTTGCCTCTTGAACATGGTTTGTGGGTCGAACCAATTCCAATGGCTTATCGCCTAATGCCTCACCCGTTGAATAACTGGTCACCATTGATTCTCTGGTCATTTCTAAAGAAATATCACGACGCACAATCATTAAAAAAATTCAGTAGTCAATAAACACTAGTTGTACACGCGCTTTCAAACACCACACTCGACACGATACATATCTGCACCAAACACGGCGACCATAAAACGCTCACTCGACGCAGCGCATGGTACTGATACGACAACACGTTGGTTAGCCGGCGTAGTGAACAGTGATGATCTCTTCTCCCACCACAAACTCCACGCGCTTATTATAATATGAGGTATGCTCATTGCTCACACGCCTCACTGCGTTCACAGTCAGTTGGCCATTCAGTTAATGTTGTTAATGATACAAGTTTTTTTATCTTTACTAGTCAAAGAAGTCATAAGCCGAAAAACGACAATGCTTCTATACCCAAGAGAAACGATTGTACGTCTCTACTACTAAAATGTATTCAAAGAGCCTAGCTGTAAAGAATCATTGCCGTAACAATCGCGAGTCACGATGAAAATGTATAATATATATATATATTGACTAAGTATGAATCAAATTCGTTAAAAGGTTTAATTAATAATAGATGCATAGAAACGCAGTTTTAAAGATTCAGTCGCCTAGAAGAATTATCGTATTGAGCATTTCAAATTTCCGGCTTGAAAACACAATTGCGTCAATTTTTTTTTTTAAATATAATAAAAGTAATAAAATGGAATTTCTCTAGTTTCTCAGCGCATAAGGATATTTTACGGTACGGTTAAGTAAGAACAAAAATAGTAGAAATTTCATTCCTTATTAAGGTGCATTTAACTATATTATAACATATATATATATATATATGTGAACGATAATCAAGTTACAAATACTGAATATAGTAGAAATTATTTGTTTTTTTTTTTTGCAAAATAAAATAAAATGAATTGAGAAATATTCATTATTATACTACCAAAAGTCTTTTCTCTGTTTCTTTTTACTTTAGATTGTTTAACAAATTCAAAAATACATTATGTCATATTATTTTTAAGGTCAATATTTTACCAGGCGTGTCTGTAGGTTGAAGTGGAAAGAGCAAAGATCATTTTTATTTGTTCAACATTGACTATTTCTCTCAATAATAAAGACTTACTTAAGATAAACAGCCACCAATAATAAATAGATTTCAATTAAATTAAAAAATTGTTTTATTATAAACCTCTTATGTTATACGAAAAAAACCTATTTGTATATTTTTTATAACACAACTCAAACAAAAAGAAGTAAAATGTATGTTGTAGCATGAAATTTTAAACATGTATGACCCAAACTCACTACATACTTCAAAATTCGCTGGGTTAGAGTATACGAGTTTTACAAAAAAATGTGTAGAACATAAAAAAATAGTAACAAAGAATAACTGCCCCTGTATTTTCTATTCAAGCTACCATGGCATACTAATGTAAAAGGTTAACATTGTATGAAAAATACAGATTAACAATTAAAAATAGCCGAGAATTCACAGAATTTAAAAGATAACCTGCTTTAAAAAAAAGTATGTTGATAGTAGTATCATCTCAATTATACTTAATAATAATTCAAATATTCAATAAAAAATTTTGTTACATGACTGATGATCCATTGATTAAAATATTGATCGGATTATTTCGCTTAAAACACCACGCCCACTATATTATTGTTTTTACATATTTACATTATCGTAATAATTTAATTTAAGTTTAAATACATAAAAAAGATTAAATATTATAAAAGTAATTATATTTATTTTTAAATAAGCCGATTAAATTGGTGAAATGATTACCTTATTGATCTTTTAAATAAATTGCAAGATAAGCAATAAGTATTTAATTTATACGAACAATTTAGTTAGTGATTCAAAATAAGCATAGAAAGATGACTGACCTCTTAAGTACAACGATTTAAGTTTAAAAATATCAATTTCCACCAAAATAAAATATATTTCTGCAAATACTCTATTAAAAAAAATTACTAAGATAAGAAAAATTAATCAATAAAAATAAAATTTAATATAAATGATTTTCAATAGAACGTAAGTTTTCTTGTAACTATTAAAAAATACTTTATAAATCCTTTAAATTGGGTGTTTGTTAGTTTTATAAAATTAGTTATTGGCCTCCTCCGAGTAGTCTATTTAGTACAAGTTATCAGAAGCACGCGTTATTTTCCCAATAATATTTTTTAATATGTAATGAGGCCTCCTTCCTGAAAAACAATTTGCCTATGAAACGACTTACGATAAAAATAATTACAGGTAGATTGCTTAAAAGAATGTAATTAGCGTTTTGTTTTTAACCTATAAATACAAAGCAAGTTTTAGTTACTAACCTGTTTTTTGTAATAAATGCGTAAACGCAGAACTGATTTCAATACTACGAATCGATTTAATATTGTCTGTAAAAAAAAAAAATAAATAAATAAATGTTAACACATTTAAAATATTGAGTTCATCAATTTTCGAATAACAATAAGCTATAAATACAATAAAAATACATTTTTTAAAAACTTTACATCAAAATAGGACATTTACGTTGTACATGATATCATCATAAAATACAACTTGTGTATTGAACAACTTACATATACAAGTAAATTTTGTTAAAGAAAACTAACTATTTATATATATATATATATATATATATATATATATATAAATATCCATTAATAAATATATTACAGATCAATAAAGAAAAATAACTGATAGAATAAAATTATAGACAAGACTTCCTAAGAATTTTCCTTACGAGTCTCAGAAAAAATATATGTATAAATATAAGCATTGATTTTAGTTGTTTTTATGTATACATTTACTATCATTATATTATAGTCTAGACAGTCACCATAAAAAAGTTTTCATAATTATTAAGTTAATTAAAATTGAAATCACAGTTCATCAAACTATTAATCATTCAGCGTTTAAATAAATTAAGACATTTAATTGATTATGAATTATTAAATCTGAATTGAATGTCTTTAATAAGAAGCTGCAGATATCAAAAACTTCAAACGTGTTTTTCTTAATTTGAGAAAGGAGGAGTTACGTGTTAAGGTAAAATAAGTATTTTGTATTGATTTTTTTAAGACTGACATATTTTTTCTTCGCTGACATCTCACAGAATTATTTGTTAAACAGTAAAATAATTACCACTTTTAACTATAGTATTGACAACAACAATCATATCATTGAAAAAAGTATTAATTTATTAAATATCTAATGTAGATTAAACAAAAAAAATATTATGTTTATTAAATAATATGTAAATATTATTATTCTGTAATATATTTATCCTTAATTTAAACCTCATAAAAATGAAAACCAAAACAACAATTATTTTGAGTTACGCTTGTAGTCTTGGAAGCGTTTTATAATTTATGTATTCTAGTTACGCATAGTATGTTATTTCATCAAAAACTAAACCAGTCTAAAAACTACTATAGCCGATTTTTAATTAAAACGAATGATAATAATGTTTAAAGAGATTCCGCGTCTATATGCAAAGAAGAGTTTTATAGCTTTATAAGTTAATAACGACCAAAAAAACAAAGACAGCAATTTTCTTATTCGTCGAACTTGAACACTAGCACTAGGTCAGGTCAAAAACAAACGTAAGTACAACATATTACACTTGGCAGCTGTCAAAACTAACATAACATACACAAGTTGTATACAGTTTGACGTGTCTTATATAACAGTAAAAGTAAAAATCAAAACACAAAAATATTATAAAAGGGTATTCACATTAAATATCATAGCTACTGATAAAAATGTACTATGCATATTACAAATCTGTACTGGTATTAAATAGTTAAAATGGCAATTTCAGATTTATAGCTTAAAAAGATGAAATTTTCTCAAATAATTTTTAACATTCAAAATTTTTCTAAGTATATTATATTGTGTAAAAATTATACTTAACAACTGTTTGTTGACCAGACTTTTCTATGTTAAAGAAGCATTTTATTTTCAAGAACTAATAATTAAATCTTCTTTTGTAATCACAAGGAACACAATTCATAATTAAATAACTAAAAAAACAATTCGCCTCCTCCTGAGTTAATACAGGTGGATGATGGACACGCTCTTGATTATAACAACCATAAATCAAAATAATACAAAGAATAAATATGTAGGTACCTTTTTTGTTTGAAAAAACCTATATAATCAACATCATTTGTTAATGGTTGTCATTTTACTCTAAACCATAATACGTAGTTAATTTTCAACAATTTTTTACTTTTTTGATTTCTGAAAGTCATTTGTTATCTTTGTTAAGTAACAAATCCTTATAAATGGAAAGGGGGATGGACCACTCGGTCAAAGTATTCTTCGTAAAACCCGCGGGTCTCTTTATGTATTTTCTTTCTATAACAATAATAATACCTAACTAATAACCATACTAGTACCTTGAATAACGAAAATGACTATTTATCTTTTTAATAAGATCAAAGTTCTTTGAAACTTTGGTTATTAAAAAAAAATAGTTTAAAGTATTTTATTTTAATAAATCTAGGCAGCAAAAAGGGTGATTGGCGTATGAGCATGACTACGATTCCTTGTCTGTATTTGCTACAGTATCATGTAATTGATTAACAATCAATTAATTGATAATTTGGTCCAATAATTCCATAGAATTTAAAATCTAATCGTCAATGAGAGTAGCAACATATAAATATTGATATACATATACACATACATGTAACATTATAAATATACTATTCCTATAAAAATAGATTTTAATTTTTCTTTCTGAATTTTGCAGGTGCCAAATAATATGACGCAAACTCGGCTGTTGTAAGAATAGACGAAAAAAAAGAGTAAATAATAAAATTTGAACGTTTGAAATTAGTTTTGACGTTAACTAAAAAATAAAGCATAGGTGTAATCACAATAAGACAATAAAAGTTCATTTTTAACAATGAAACAAAATATTTTTAAGTTATAAATGCTATACTGATTCGTAAATTTGCTAATAAGCGTGTTGAAAAATAACATAAAGAAAAATAAATATATTTGAAAAAATCCTCACAAATAAAAATAATATGTTTTCGAAAAAATATATGAGATATATTTGTTTATACTTTAACTGATTTAAATACGAGATAAACTTATTCTCGTTTAGCCAAAGGTTTTCCATAGAAACCAATAATGTCGAAAAGACTTTAGAAAATGTAAGACATTGCTGAATTTCTTACAGAAATCGTTTGGAACATCTAGAATAGTCCATTGTTTTACGTATACAATCAAGAAAAAAAATAACATTTAATTATATATTCTATCAATAAATACGATTATAATCAATAACTCCACTGGATTCACTTAGAATATTAGGCTCTACGTAGACATTGCATAAGTGAGATACACTCGACGGAATAGCTATTAACTTGAACAACATTCATCATTCAAGGTCATTGCAGCGTAAGAAATTGGGCGATCACGATCCCACAATGGCGTACAGATTTGTTAAACAAATGCTGAATGCCGAAAGATAATGGTGTGCGGTAGGTTAATGGAAGGTACAATAAATGTTATCACTTTTAGGTACACCGTCAAGACAATTATTTGTTTAAGAGGGAACAAAATGCTTTCTAAATTGGATATCTCAGAGTAATGGCAATTATTAATGGTTACGGTACAAATCGAAAAATACATTTTTAAACGATTTACTAATTATTTAATTTTACATTCGAATAAATACAACCCAAGATCAAAGACAAAAATTAATTAGTAAAACATCATCTAAACTTCAATTAAAAATTATCGACTGAATTAAAATTGACGGAAACGACTAGAATATACGATTTAAAATATGTTTGTAATACATTGTTATAAACTTAAAAATAGTAAACAATCTTCGTAGAAGAAAAAACTATTTACGAATAGAAAATACCGGTTTAGAAAAGATGATATTATGCAAAAGAAAAGAACAAATTAAAGATCCAAGATTCGGTCACGGTAAAGAACACTATTAAGTATAAAACGAATTCTCATTCCTGTATTGAATGTATGTTAAACTGAGCGATCAATCATTTATCAATACATCTATAACAACATATACTTGGAAGTTAAACTGTTCTTAGACACCAGTAGACGGTCAATAATAAATAATGGTTTTCAAGTGTCTAGCGTCCTGCTAGCAAAATAGCTCTCCAGAATAGTTCGTATCTAATTAAACTTATACCACAAACGGGATATAAAATGTGTGTATATTGCCTGTAACCAAAACGTTTAGGGCCAGGATACTATACAAAACATGTTGTCTGGATAAGGTAACATTATTATGTTTAGGCCGGCAACATCGTTAAGAAGGCGTGCACTGTGCTCCACACAACAGCCTATTACGCGAATCCGGTCTTCGTCTCGCCGGTAGGATTTCTTATCTCGTCTAGCACGTACCTTGTCAAATGGTCAATAGCCCGCGCTGCATTAACATATTTTTGATATGCACACTACATGTCCTTACAGACATCGCCGATACAGTTATGTAATTACGATAAGGTCATGTTTTGTTAAAGAGAAACATAGAAAATTTAAGATTTAAAAAGAAAATTTGTTTTGGGGACAACTAGTTTTTTTCATAGAGTGCATTATGATAATATAATAAAATGCACACGCTCGCAATATTATCATAGATCATAAAGAATAGCGTTTATAGTTGTACGCTTTCGAATGATTACAGAAAACAATTTGAATTAATAAACTACATTCAAAGCATAACAGCGATGTTTATCGTTAAAAAACCGTAGGGATGTAGATAAAAAGGAAACCACGAAATTCGAAGGTGATTGAATTACATGTGTTGTTATGTTACCGACGCGTATAATTAAGTGCGGTTCATCGTACTTACCGTTATACTAAATGAAATTTTTGGTCTCATTTTAATAGAGACTTGACGAGATGAGACAGCACTTAGAATGTTAACTAGCTAACGTACGTGTAATTTTCGTAATGCGATATTACAAACTCAAAATATACTATCTATTTTTATTTACACTATCTATATCAATTTTAACTTATTAGAAATGTGGTAAACTTATGTTTATGTTCAAGAATATCAATATCGAAGAGTATTTTCAACATAATGTTATTTCAAAAGTCAGTATAATACAACGCTAGACACGCTATCATCGTTTATGAAATGGTACCATGACGGAGCGAAAAAAACTCTTGACAGAAACAAGTTTCGGCATAAGAGGTGGCGGACAGTATCCCGGGTAGCCACTAGTTTTTTTTTTTTTTTTTTTTTTTTTTTTTAATGTAAGATTTAGAAAATGCAAAAACTTGATTCTTAAATTGCAAACAAACTTGTATCAAATAATTATTATAACTTTTTTCATTNTCATTTGGTTACTAGGCTTCATATTCGTCTAGTTAACAAAGAACAAAGTTAACAAAG